GTTTTAGAAGAATGCCCCCATTTCCCCAGAAATCAGCTCTCTCCCATCCTTAGCCACCTGGAAAATACTCAGATCATTACGAAGTCAGAAAGGGTCTGGAAGTGACAGCAGAATGTCAATTTGACAATTTATTTCTTTGTAGCAGTTTCATATGGTTGAGCCTAATGTATATGCGTCTATACACATACGTGTTTATTTTTAACTTATGATGATTTGGTATGGAAGGTTTGTAGATCTTTATTCAGAGCCTGTTGACTCTTGATTTATGTACTGTTCTAACAACTTCCGCCATGTTTCTTAGCCCATAGTCTGTTAGAAGGAGAGAACTGCAAGGCAGAAGGTGGCAGGGGGAGGCAGGTGGGTGGGTAGCAAGAAGTGATAGCTGACAGCCTGGAGAGCGAGGGACAAGGCTGAGTCAGAGTTCTCGGTGATCGAGTAGTCCGGCGCCTTCACTTTTCCAGACAGAAAGGCTAAAGCTCAGAGAAGTCCCCTGGCTTAGATCCCATGGTGGGGCTGGACTGGAATCCAGTCCCCTCAACCTCACGTATGGTGGTTGCACTTGGTGCCACAGCACCAATGTCACTCACTTACATCATAGTTGCTGAGGACGACTGAGTGTCATAGAGAAAGTATTTAATTATGTTCAAGATCCCCTGTCTCAAAAAAGTCAGGGAAGTATTTATGATTTGAAAAATAATTCCATTCCAAAGAGTTTAGATGAAAATGCCATCATGTAGAATATGTGGGCAGATATGTTTTATTCCAGATCTTCTTTGCTGGGACCTCATTTTCCCCCAGTGGTGCCTAATGGACGAAGCCTGGCCGCATTCCTGCCCTGGAATGAGGCGGACAAGCCTAGGTCCTGCCAGTGGAAAATATGAGTACAGAAGTGGGGAAAAGACAGTGGCTTTCTGATTGTCTCCACCTCTGAAAGCTTTCACTGAGTTATAGATGGAAGTTGTTCCCTGGCACTTAAAATAACTTCTTTACATATGGTTTCTAATTTATTTTACTTATAAAAGTTGTATGTGTTCAGCATAGAACTAGAAAGTGGAGAAAAATTTCAGTAAGAAGAAAAAACACAAATGATTTTTCATCACCGAAAGAGAATTACCATTAACACCTTGGCAACACTTGTCCAAATTGCTCGATTGTTCAGGCTATTATGCTCACGCTGTCTCTTTCTCTCTCTGTCATGTGCTCGTGTGTGTATGTCTATACATGGACTCTATAGACACACATACCCATGTATATCGATATGTACATAAAATGTGGATCATGCTGCTAAGTTTTTTCAAGTGATGTTTAATTAATAATGGACATGTTTACATCTAGATACATGAAAATCTATCTTATTTTTATTATCATTATTATTATTATTTGAGATGGAGTTTTGCTCTTGTCACCCAGGCTGGAGTATAGTGGCACAATCTCCACTCACTGCAACCTCCAACTCCCGGGGTCAAGCGAGTCTCCTGCCTCAGGTGCCTGCTACCACACCTGGCTAATTTTTTGTATTTTTAGTAGATATGAGGTTTCACCATGTTGGCCAGGCTGGTCTCAAACTCTTGACCTCAGGTGATCCACCTGCCTCGGCCTCACAAGGTGCTGGGATTACAGGTGTGATCTACTGTGCCCGGCCTACTTTATTTTTTAAACAGCTGCAAACGAGCCCATCCTATGTCTGTGCCTCAATTTGATGAACTGCCCTCTACTGTTGGGCATTTTGGTTGTTTCCGGATTTTTTGCTATCGTGATTACAGTTGTGATCAGCATATTTGCCCATGCCCTTAATTATCTCCTTAGAATGAATTCTTGGAAGAACCATGGCTGTGTCAAAGGAAACAAAGTCTTTTATGGCTTTCAATGTGTGTTGCCAAAACTTTGGAGCTCTGTTTTTCCACTCAGATTTTTTATGACTTTGGAAAGTGCCATCGTCTGTAGTTTAGGATTCTACACATTGTGATTCACCAAGACGCCCTTCCGGAGCTCCTGCCATCCTCCCTCTTCTGGGCTCACTGCTTCTTCCATTTCTTCTCGCAGGGATCTCTCTCTCTCTGACTCCTTGGGTGTGGTCGCAGGGCTTCAGGATCTTGTTCTGGGGGAACTGGAATGGTGGTGGGAACATGGAGAATGGAGAATAAGCAGTAAAGTGTGGGTGCACACATGTGCTAGTCCAATCGTATTCAGAGGATAGTTGTGGGAAATTCACCCTGGACCTCCCCACTGTCTTTCATCTCAATGCCAAAGGCACTTTATGGCTGAACATTGGGTTGACGCTTCAGGCTGATTCTTCTGCCTAGGATCAAGTCCCACTTCTTTGACCTGGCCTTGTGATCTGGCTCCTGTCCACCCTCTCCCCACATGGTCCCCGCCTGTTTTTTTTTTTTTTTTTTTTTTTTTTTTTTTGGGACGGAGTCTCCCTCTGTCGCCCAGGCTGGAATGCAGTGGCGCAATCTCAGCTCACTGCAGCCTCCACCTCCCGGGTTCAAGTGATTCTTGCACCTCAGCCTCCTGTAGCTGGGACTACAGGCACATACCATCATGCACAGCTAATTTTTGTATTTTTAGTAGAGATGGGTTTTCACCATGTTGGCCAGGCTGGTCTTGAACTCCTGACCTCAAGTGATCTGCCCACCTTGGCCTCCCAAACTGCTGAGATTACAGATGTGAGCCACTGTGCCCAGCCAGACTCCCCTTTCTTTATCTATACTCTAGTTGCAGTGACTTTTTGCAGGTCCTCTAGAATGCCAAACTCCTTCCTGATTCAGGGCTTTCAAATACGTGACTCCCTGAATGGGGGGTAGGGCTGAGGGTGGGGGTATACTCTTCCTTATTTAAGCTTTAAAATTTTTTCTCGAGACAGGGTCACACTATGTTGCCCAGGCTGGTCTTCAACTCCTGGCCTCAAGCGATCCTCCAGCCTCAGCCTCCCCAAAGTGTTGGGATTACAGGCATAAGCCACTGTGCCCAGCCCCTCTTCCTTCCTCTTACTCTTCAACCTGTGGAACAAAGCCAAGTGTGGAGAGTAAGAGCATGACTCCTGGGGTCAGGCTTGGGTTTGTATCCTGGTTCTGCCACTTATCTGCTGTGCAACCTTGGATAAACTGCTCAGCCTCTCTGTGCCTTAGTTTTTACATCTGTAAAGTATGTTTAATAATAGTGTCCACCGCAAAAGGGTTGTTGTGAGGATCAAATACAGTGCTGTCTATATGCAGTTAGAACAGTTCCTGGCATGTAGTAAGCATCAGGAAACATTTGTTGTTACTGAGCTGGCCTCAGCATGCTCACCACACCACAAAGAAGTTTTCCACAACCCCCATTGTGGGCCAAGATTTCTTAGTTTGTGTTCTCATGACCATCTGTACCTTCCTTCTTATAAGTTACTGCAGTTGTTACTAAATAAATAAGCATTTTTTAAAAATGTGTGGACCAGGCAAGGTGGGCCACGCCTATAATCCTAGCATTTGGGGAGGCTGAAGTGGGAGAATTGCTTGAGCCTGGGAAATGGAGGTTACAGTGAGCTGTCATGGAGCCACTGCATTTCAGTCTGGGTGACAGAGGGAGACCCTGTGTCCAAAAAAATAAAAAATCTGACTCTTGCCTGAAGCTGTCCCATGAGAGGTCCCATGAAGGTAGGGGCTGCTGCTCTCTTGTTCACAGCAGAGAATTGGTTTTCAATAAGGATCTGATCAAGGAGTGGAAAGAATGGTCCTGCTACTTATGGCTACAGAGAGGAGTTCCTCAGAAAGTCACTCAGGGACCTCCTCGATGAAATAATAGGGTAACTGACTACAAGACTATGGATGTCCAAGGACTGAGCCTCTTCTAGTTTCCCAAGCCAGCCTATGCTTGGAGGTTGCAGACTCTCTCAGTCCATAAAGGACCAGGGTTGTTTTTAAATTTCTAACTCATCATAGATGAAAACTTTAAAAAATATAACTAAATGAATTACTAGAAAATGAAATAAAACTCAAGGCCAGGGTTTCTCAACCTTGGCACTATTGATGTTCTGGGCCACATAGTCCTTTGTCTTGGGAACTGTCCTGTGCGTGGTAGGATGTTGAACCTGTCCGTTTATTATTAAATTTAACAGACATGAACGTACTCTATCAAATTGCTACAAAGGGGCTGGGCGTGGTGGCTCACGCCTGTAATCCCAGCACTTTGGGAGGCCGAGGCAGGCAGATCACTTGAACCCAGAAGTTTGAGACCAGCCTGGCCAACATGGTGAAACCCCAACTCTACTAGAAATGCAAAAATTAGCCGGGCGTGGTGGTGGGTGCCTGTAATTCCAGCCACTCAGGCAGCTGAGGCACAAGTATTGCTTGAACCCATGAGGTGAAGGTTGCAATAAGCAGAGATCATGTCACTGCTCTCCAGCCTGGGTGACAGAGCGAGACAATTTCAAAAAGAAAAAAGAGAGAGAGAGAGAGAGAGGTGGAGAGAGAGAGAGAGAGAGAAAGAGAGAAAAGTCTACAAAGGTTTCTAAACACTTAAGGTTTCTCTACTAATCTTGGCATAGACTGGTGACAGACCCTGCTTTGAGCAGCACCAAACTCATCCCTCATAGAAAGGGAAACTGAGGCCCTGCTCAGGATCCAGATAGAAATGTGCTGTTAAAACACATTGAAAACTTGGAGGAGGCCTGGCGCCGTGGCTCACACCTGTAATCCCAGCACTTTGGGAGGCCGAGGCAGGCAGATCACCTGAGGTCAGGAGTTTGCGACCTGCCTGGCCAACATGGTGAAACCCCATCTCTACTATAAATACAAAAAAATTAGCTGGATGTGGTGGCAGGTGCCTGTAATCGCAGCTACTCAGGAGGCTGAGGGAGAATAGCCTGTACCCGGGAGGCGGAGGTTACAGTGAGCGGAGATAGCACCATTGCACTCCAGCCTGGACAAGAAAAGCGAAACTCCGTCTCACAACAAACAACAACAACAACAAACTTGTAGGAATGTTTCTGAATTTAGGTTCTTTCCCTTTTCTCTCCCCAGTTCACCTGTGGCAGATGATGTCATCCAGCCAGCTGCCCCCACAGACCTGGAAAGCCCATCCTTAGCTGCCCCTTCCTACCATGGCGATGTTGTTGGCCAGGTCTCTACGGATCTGACAGCCCAGAGGTACGGTGGGGGCCCTGGAGCTGGTGGTGAGACCCCAGGGCCCAGTCCTTGAGGCTGCCTCCCTCCCTTCCCCTCCCCTCCCCTCCCCTCCCCTGCAGTTTCACTCCCTCTGCACACAGACACAGCATGTGCACACCTGTCCTGAACAGGTGTGTGCCAGAGCTGGGGCCTCTTTTTTGACCTTAGGAATGATCTGAGATACCAGGAAGACCGTCTTCCCTGACCCAGCCCCCAACACATACAATGGGCATTTTACAGAATTTTTTCCTATGTGGCCTTCAGGGGTCCCTATTTGAAACAGAAGCCCTCCAGTAGAGAGAAGGTGCTACTTCTCCTTTTTCAGGGAATGGTTGAGTTAGCTGCCTTCTGGTTTCCTGGGACAGAGCTGGATTCACTGCTTATTTTCTTTTTTTTTTTTTTTTTTTTGAGATGGAGTCTCGCTCTGTCGCCCAGGCTGGAGTGCAGTGGCACAATCTCGGCTCACTGCAAGCTCCACCTCCCGGGTTCACGCCATTCTCCTGCCTCAGCCTCCCGAGTAGCTGGGACTACAGGTGCTGGCCACCTCGCCCGGCTAGTTTTTTGTATTTTTTAGTAGAGACGGGGTTTCACCGGGTTAGCCAGGATGGTCTCGATCTCCTGACCTCGTGATCCACCCGTCTCGGCCTCCCAAAGTGCTGGGATTACAGGCTTGAGCCACCGCGCCCGGCCCATTTTCTTTCATTTTTTGGTGGTGGTCAGAAAAGAGGAGGGTCAGCAGCACATGGCAGGGGAGCCAGAGGCCTGGGGTCCCTGCCCCTGCCCTTCTGCCATGTCACCTCCCACCAGCCTCCCTTCTCCTTGCTCTTCACACCCCAGCAACCCCACACTCATCATGGTTCTCCATCTACACTGTGCTTGGCCTGGATTCAGGCTTCACTGCTCCTTCTGCCTGCAAACTTGGCATTTAACCCCGGGCTGTTCCAGAATCAGCCTCAGAGTCAGCTCAGATGCCCATATATGCATATATAGGCACACATGTACACATGTATGCCTCCACATGTCTCTCTCCATACACACATGTACACGTGCATGTCTACATATGTCTATACACACATACACATGTATGTCTACATATGTCTATTACACACACATATGTCTGTGTGTGTGTGTTTCTGAATACACACATACACACATTTGAATTTATGTTTATATCAGTGAAACATCTGCTTTTTGCCCAATATTGCCTGGTGCTGGGGAAGCCATGGTGAATAGGCAGATACTGTCCCTTCCCTTCTAGAACTCATGGCCCAGTGACCCTTCCTCCAGGAAGCCTTCTCCCCAAGCTGAGAGAAACCTGCCTCTGAATTCCTGCGGTCGCCAGTTATGCCCCTATGTCACTGCCCTCCACAGATGCTTGTAAATGACCCGTATCTAATTCCATCTCCTTTGCAAGACTGGGAACTCCTCAAGGGAGGAACTGGTCACTTGTAATCTCTGGAACTGCAGTACCCAAGACGGCATTGAGCAGGCCCTGGAGGAGTGGTGGTGACTTAAACCAGATGAGGGGGGACAGGGACCTGGGGGCCGGCCCGTGCTGACCCTCTTCCTTGGGGTGCAGGCAGGTAGCTGACAGCACCAAGACGCTTCTTCAGAACTAGGAGGAGGTTCCTGGTAGGCGAGAAAGCAGAGGATGGGATAGACAGGGCGGGAAGCTGCAGGCGAGAAGCAGATATTCCAGGGCAGCCATGCACTGATGTGGAATTTTAGATATTCCTTTTACAGGTAGGAGTCAGCCATAGTTCTTCCCCCGCCCCCCCGGAGATGGAGTCTCACTCTGTCGCCCAGGCTGGAGTGCAGTGGCACAATCTCTGCTCACTGCAACCTCCGCTTCCTGGGTTCAAGCGATTCTCCTGCCTCAGCCTCCCGAGAAGCTGGAATTACAGGCGTGCGCCACCATGCCCGCCTAATTTTTTTGTATTTTTTTTTTTTAGTAGAGATGGAGTTTTGCCATGTTGGCCAGGCTGGTCTTGAACTCCTGACCGAGGTAATCCGCCTGCCTTGGCCTCCCAAAGTGCTGGGATTACAGGCGTGAGCCACCACACCCGTCTGAGTCAGCCATAGTTCTTACTTTTGTGTGAATTTAACTTCTTAAAGGAAAAACCCTAGCTGTGAACGAAGGCCCCCAACACTCAAGAAGTATACAGAAGTTTCCAGTGAGAAGTGGGGCACCCCCTTCCTGTCTCTCCTATTCCTCCCGCTCTTTGTCCCATTTGGCTCCGTGACCACCACCATTTTAGGAAGACCCAGGGGCCTCTGGCTGTAGCCAGTGGGGCACACCCTCCCTTGGCGAAGCCTGGAAGGGAGCCGAGATCACTCTCACCCGATGCTTCCATCTTACAGTCGAGGGATGCGGGGGCACGAGGAATCTCTAAGCAGAGGATGGCGCTGGACTTGGCTGGATGGCTCTCAGAGAGCTGCAGTCCAGCAGGGGGTATGATGGGTGCTTCTGAAGGCCCCTCCCATGCCTGAGACTGCGTGTTTTCAGTGACTTGTCCCAGGCCCCATAGTAGGTGAGTGGTGCATGCTCTTAAGGCTCCTTTTGCCTGGACACTTCCCGCGCTCCAGGCACCGTGCTGGGTGTGTTTCATTGAGTGTCTCCATAAATCCTCACGCCAGCTGTAGAAGGTAGGAGCTGCTGTCATGGCCGCCATTTCACAGTTGAGCAGACTGGGGCTCAGAGACATTAACGTGCTCCAGGACACATAGCTAGTAAGTGGCAGAGCTGGGACTGCAGCAGCTCTGGCCCGGCTGCCCACCTGTGTTCTGAAATGTTCACTGGCAGAGCTGCAGGAGCGCTAGGCTTCCTCGAGACACCGTGTCCTGGGGCCCTGCCTGTATCTGTGGTCTCTCTCTAGTCCAAGGAAGGTAATGCATTAGGTAATGCAGTTGTGTTACCTGTAACCCTGACCAGGAGTGACCACAGAATGCAGGAAGGGACCAGTGGCTAAGCAGAGATGTCAGTGCTGAGAACTCGGCCAGCTTCTTGCCTTTTCTCCTTATGGAAAGATTCAGACCTCTGTGCAGAAGGCAGGCATGATTAAAACCGGGGGCAGTATTTGACTAAGGAATGAGCAATTTTGGTGCCTTGTCGGTGTTACTGAACATTTATCCAGAGTTGTGTTGTTTTGTTTTTACTGGATTGGTGGAAAAGAGAGAGTTCTGTTAAGACCAAGGATTGGTCTGACTTTGGTCACCAGATGCCTCTGTAAAATACAGTCGGTCCTCATTGGCGGATTCCATATTTGTGAATTTGCCTTCTCACTAAAATGTATTGATCACCCCGGAATTGATACTTGTGGTCCTTTGTCAGTCATTTGTGGACACGTGCAGAGCTGCCCAGCACACACGTTCTCACCTACGGTTTAACAAGGCAACACCCTGCCTTCTTGTTGTGGCTCTGGCACTGTAAACAGGTGTCCTTGTGTGGCACGTTTCGTTCAATTGTTGTGCTTTTCATTGGTGAATACATTGTTTCAAACGAGCCCTGAGCATGATGCTAAAGTGCCCTCCTAAGTGCAATGATGAGCCTCCGGCGAAAAGTTGTGCCTTAGAGAAGCTTCGTCCTGGCATGAGTTGTAGTGCTGGTGGCTGTGAATTCAATGAAACAAAATTACCTATTAAAGAAGGCGTCTTTAAACAGAAGCACACGTGGAACAAGGTTATGTTTTGGTTGAGTGGCTGATGAAAATATTGTGCCCAGAAACTCACAGGAACCTACCCCTATATTTCCTCTAGATGCAATAATTCAGTGTTTCCTAATTCAGGGTTCATGGCGACTTGATAGAATGTTACTGTGAATAGCAAGAATCAACAGCGCTCCACCTTGCCCATCTGATTGAGAAACTAAGCGGGACGTTCTAGTGTGCAGTGGCGATTTAACCACAGCAGTGGCCCCGCCACCCCATCCACCTGCAATCCCTGTGCACTTTCTGCTTCCCGCAAGGACAGAGGCAGAGGGTGGGATGCAGAAGGAGGGGAGGGATGAACATGGGGCAGGGGGCAGGCTGTAACAGTCTTCAGGAGAGGTGTGCCTTTTCAGTAGTTTAAATTTAAACATTAAATCAAAATGTGTGTATGTGTGTGTATATATATACACGTATATATAGATGTGTGTATATATATACGTATGTATATATGTGTGTGTGTGTGTGTATATATATATTTTAGATGTAGTCTTTCTCAGTCTCCCAGGCTGGAGTGCAGTGGCACAATCTGGGTTCGCTGCAAACTCGGCCTCCTGGGCTCAAGCTAGTGTTCTGCCTCAGCCTGCTGAGTAGCTGGGATTACAGGCGTGCACCACCATGTCTGGCTAATTTTTGTATTTTTAGTATAGATGGCGTTTTGCCACGATGGCCAGACTGGTCTCAAACTCCTGACCTCAGGTGATCTGCCTGCCTTGGCCTCCCAAAGTGCTGGAATTACAGGCGTGAGCCACTGTACCCGGCAGAATTTTTTTTAATCAATAAAAAAAAAGTAGAGCTGGAGCATTTGCTTTAAGCCACCTGAGAGAAAAATAGAGAGCAAGCCTCACTCCTCCTTCCCTGTTGCCTGCTAATTCTTTGGTGCCCTGCCCTCTAGTTTCAAGAGCTCTTATTTTTCTGAGTAGCAGAAAAAGGAGAAGTCACCTCCATCTCTAAGGTATTTCTCAAATAAAATGAAAGGGATTTTGATGCACCCTTTCTCTATTGTTAATGCCACTGGAGGGCATCAAAATTTGCTTCCTTCCTCAGGGAAGAGCTGTGAAACTGCTTCAGGGGTTGAGCTAACCCTGGATGACAGAGAAAGCTGGGCCCAGATCTTCTAGAACTTTCTACAAATGACCACATTGCCTATGGCCACTTGTACTCTCATCTGTTCAGTATTTTCATTTTTTAAAAAAGCAGGATGAGCCTGGGTAACCCTGCCTCTACAAAAATTAGCTGGGTGTGGTGGTGCGTGCCTGTAGTCCCAGCTACTCAGGA